CCACAGCCTCGGTGATGTACAATATGGTCACCTCCATGCTGAACCCCTTCATCTACAGTCTGTGGAATAAGTACATGATGGGCACGCTGAAAAGACTCTACACCGGGAAGCCATAAAACAACCTTCTTAGAGAAAGTGCCAAGAACTGCCGAGCCCTAAGTCACAGTAGCTGAGATTGCAATAACTTCAAAATAATGCTCATTTTTTATTCATTTTTGTTTATTTGAAAGGAAGAGTGACAGCAACAGAGAGAGAGACGGAGAGGGGTATTCCATCTGTTGGTTAACTCCCCAAATGCCTGCAACTGCCAAAGTAGGGCCAGATGCAATTCAGGAGTCAGGAACTTCATTTGCATCTACCTCATGTGTCACAGGGACTCAATACTTGAGCCATCACATTCGGGGAAAGCCAGATTAAAAGGCAGAGGTGGAACCCAACCTTAGGTACTGTGGAATGGGTTGTGGGTATCTCAAGCAGAGACTTAAGCCACTGTATCATGTCTTCCTGTTATTGCAATTCATTTCTCAGATTCCTCAAAGAGAAATCCCTTGTTTAATTCCTTTCCAGTCTTATAAATTTGTTTAAATGATACTGCTTTATTGAATTTAAGCAACCACACTTTCTAAGCTGTGATGCTCTCTGAAATGACACACAATATTTCTCCCCTTGTTTTTTTTTCTGACTTTCCCAACATTCTTCCCATCCTGATAACATAAAGACTTGAGTGATTCCCATTCATCACATGCAGTGATATATTTATTCCTGGTTCTGCAGTGACAATGATAGTAGCCAGCTGAGGCCATTTATATAATTTTACAGTTGAGGAAATTCTACTGTGGCAGTTGTAGACTTTTGTACCATTTTTCCTGTGCATACCTCTTAGTAACTACAATTTCTTTTTTTTATTGTTTTTGTCTTTTTCTTATCTTTTTTTAGCTTTTTTTAGTTTTGTTGATTTTTTTAGAGAGAAGGTTTATTGTTGGGTGGGTGAAGCCCCATGGGCTGAGGGGAGAGGGCAAGAGAGTAAGAGAGAGAAAGAGAGCATGAGAGAGAGAGAGAGAGAGAGAGAGAGAGAGAGAGAGCATGTGTTTGGAAATAGCTTCTATTAAACCTTTGCTGAGGGGCAGGCAGGGAATTAGGAGCAGCGAATCCAATTAGGGTGGAGGTGGAGCTGACACCTGTGGTTGAACTATGTGGTAGTTACAATCATATTTCTCCATATGTCTGTTGGCTATTTTAATTACATCCTTTGAAAAATGCTTGTTCATAGCCTTTTCCCATTTCTTATGTGGATTATTTGTTTGTTGTTGTTGAGTTTCTTGAGCTCTTTATAGATTCTGAATATTAAATCTTTATCAGTTTTATAGTTTGCAAATAATTTTTCCCATTCTGTTGGTTGCCTCTTCATTTTGCTGAATGTTTCCTTTGCAATGCAGCTTCTCAGTATGATGTCTATTTGTCTATTTTGACTTTGATTGTGCCTCTGGGGTCTTTTCCAAGAAGTCTTTGCCTATGCTCAATCTCTTGCAGTTTCTCCCAATGTTCTCCCTTAGTAATTTGATGGTATCAGATCATAGGCTTAGACCCTTGATCCATTTTGATTTGATTTTTGTATAAGGTGTAAGGTTCATACTTCTGTATGTGGGTGTCCAGTTTTCCCAGAACCATTTGTGGAAGAAACTATCCTTTCTCCAGAGAGTGATTTTAGTTCATTTGTCAAAGATTAATTGGTTGTAGATGTGTGGGTTAATTTCTTGGATTTCTGTTCTGTTCCATTGGTCTGCTTGTCTATTTTTGTGCCAGTACCAGGCTGTTTAGATAATAACTGCCCTGAAGTAGGTTGAAGTCTGGTATTGTGATGCCTCCAACTTTGAGTTTGTTGTTTGAGATTGCTTTTGGTATTCAGGGTCTCTTGCATTTCCAGATAAATTTTAGGTTAATTTTTTTCAGATCTGAGAAGAATGTCCTTGGTATTTTCATTGGGATTACATTGAATTGTAAATCGCTTTGGGCTATGTACATTGTGATAGTATTCATTCTTCCAATTTATGAATATAGAAGATTTTTTTGTAATTTTGTAATTTTAAAATTTTCGGATTCCCTTTGTTAAATTTATCCTAAGGTCTTTAATTTTTTATAGCTATTGTGAATGAGATTGATCTTAGAAGTTCTTTCTCAGCCACAGCATCATAGTCTGTGTGTAAAAAGACTGTTGATTTTTGTTTGCTTATTTTTATATCCTGCAACTTTACCAAACTCTCTTTAGAGTTCCAACAATCTCTTAGTGGGGTCTTTTAGTTCTCATATGTATACGATTATGTCTTCTGCAAACAGGCATAATTTGACTTCCTCCTTTCCAACTTACATCCTTTTAATTTCATTTTTTTTGGCTGATGACTCTAGTTAAAGCTTCCAGAACTATATTCAAAAGTAATGGTAGCCAGTGCCATGGCTCAATAGGCTAATCCTCTGCCTGCAGCACCAGCACCCCAGGTTCTAGTCCCAGTCAGGGTGCCAGATTCTGTCCTGGTTGCTCCTCTTCCAGTCCAGCTCTCTACTGTGGCCCGGGAGTGCAGTGGAGAATGGCCCAAGTGCTTGGGCCCTGCACCCGCATGGGAGACCAGGAGAAGCACCTGGCTCCTGGCTTCAGATCAGCACAGTGTGCTGGCCACAGCGCATTGGCTGAAGCGGCCACTGGGGGGTGAACCAACGGTAAAGGAACACCTTTCTCTCTGTCTGTCTCTCTCTCACTGTCCACTCTGCCTGTCAAAAAAAAAAGTAATGGTAAAAAAGAGCATCCTTTACTGGCTTTTCACCTTAGTGGGAATGCTTCCCAGTTTACCCCATTCAATATGATGTTGGCCGTGGAAGATTGTCATAAATTGCATTGATTGTGTTGAGGAATGTTCCTTCTATACCCAATTTGCTTAATGTTTCTTCATGAAAGGATGTTGTATTTTTATCAAATGCTTTCTCTGCAACGTATTGAATAAAGTTTTTATTCTTTAATTTATGTAATGTATCACATTTATTGATTTGCATATGTTGAATGTGCATACCAGGGAAATATAAATAAAAGTTGGAAATTTGTGTCAAAAGTGATGTCTAAAGGGACTGGTATTGTGGTGCAGAGGGTTAATCTGCTTTGGGCAGCACCAGCATCCTGTATGAGCACAGGTTCAAGTCCCAGCTGCTCTGCTTTTTACCAAACTCCCTGCTTATGTGCATGGAAAGCAGCAGAGATGGCCAGAGTACTTGGGCCCCTGCCATCCCACTGGGAAACCCAGAGGGACTTTTGTGCTCACGACTTCAGATGGGTCTAACCCTAGTCATTGTAGCCATTTTGAAAGTGAACCGGTGGATGCAAAATCTCTCTCCCCTCCCCCTCTCTCCCATATGCTCTGTCTTTTCCTCTCTGTAACTGTGCCTCTCCAATAAATCTTTAACAAGAAGGGATATGTAAAGTGACTGTCATATGATTGGTATGTAGTTATAAAGATTGCTACAGTGAATCATTTAATGTACATGAAAATATACCCTTCTTTCTCTCTTTTATGATCATCATCATGAATCCCTCACTTTGTGATCTTAATATCTCCATTTTCAAGAAAAAATGGTACTTGTGTGTATGTTTGTATGTCTGCCTAGGGAGTGAATGTGGCAAAACATAAAAAATGTTAAGTTTTCAAAACAAGAGAAAATCAGTTTACATATAAAAAGTGATTGGCTTCCCCAAATTCTGCAGAAGTACTTTCTGCATTTATAAAGCAATGAGGGACACAGTGAAAACAGTTCACACATTTGACTCTATAGAATTTATAATTGTGCAGAACAGAAACATGAACATTGGTTAAAAGCATCTCCAATTTTTTTGCTTGCAAGAATACAATTAAAAAGGAAGTAGCATCGGGCCAGCACTGTGGCAGAGAAGGCTAAGCCTCCATCTTTGGTGCTGGCATCCCATATGGGCACTGGTTGAAGTTCCAGCTGCTCCTCTTCCAATCCAGCTCTCTGCTATGGTCTGGGAAAGTAGTAGAAGATGGCTCAAGTGCTTGGGCCCCTGAACCAGGTGGGAGACCCAGAAAAACCTCTTGGATCCTGGTGCCTTCTTGATTAGCCCAGCTCTGGCCATTGTGGCCATTTGGGGAGTAAACCAGCCAATTGAAGATCTCTCTCTCTCTCTCTCTCTCTCTCCCTCTGTGTGTGTGTGTGTATGTGCCTCTGCCTCTCTGTAGCTTTGTCTTTCAAATAAATAAATCTTTAAAAAACACAAATTCTGAATCCCTAGGACACATTAGACTTGCAGCTTTAGAACTTGCATGTGAACAACATTCTTCATCAATTCACATGTGAGGAATAGATTTCCTCAACCTCTCCATGGAGGTGGATCATTGCAGCTGGATCAGGAGCAGAGTAGCTGGGACTCAAACCAGCACCCATATGAGATGCCGGCACTGCAGGTAGCAGCTTTACCTGCTACACCACAGTACCAGCCCCAAAAGAATCTAAAAATGGAAGATGACAACTAATTTTGTTTCTTTGACAAATTGTGTGGGAAGCATTTTCATGAAGAAATGATGTTTAGCTCTTTGTCTTTTTTTTATAAGATGTAGTTATTTATTTGAAAGAGAGAAAAAGAGACAAATTTATATTTCTTATTCCGTTATCTCTCTCTTACCACCACACTCTCTGCCCATCCAGTAAGTAAACCAAAACTCTTTAAAGCCCAAATCTTTACATGACCTATGTGAGCATTTACTGAATGGCTAACTTGAGGAACATCTGTAACACAATGGCTTTGGCAGTCATTTGGGGAGTGAATCAGCAGACTGGAAGACTTGTCACTCTATCTCTTCATTCCTCTATCTTTGAAACTCTACTTTTCAAATAAATAAAATAAATCTTAAAAATATTTATTTACTTATTATTTATTTAAAGGCAGAGTTACCAAGAGAAAGAGAGAGACAGACAGAAAGAGAGTTCTCTCTTCCTTGGTTCATTCCCCCAAAAGGCTGCAATAGCTTTGGTTGGACAAGTTAAAGCCAGGAGCTTGGAACTCCATCTGGGTCTCCACATTGGTGGCAGGGGCCCAAGCACTTGAGCCATCACCTGCTGCCTTCTCAGGTGCCTTAGCAGGGAAGTGATTCAGATGTGGAACAGCTGCGACTGATATTTCCACTCTCATTTGAGATGTCACATATGACAACAACAGTTTGGCAAGCATTTCCACAGGCTTACCCCTAAAGGTACAGCTAAAAACCTGCCATTGTACTCCAATTCCCATTAAGCTGGGTGGTACTAATTCCATCTTACATGTTAAAATGATCATATTAAGTGTTTAATTGATCATATAGGATAGTCAGAGGGATCACATAACTAAAACCAATGTCTGGTAATAACAATAGATAGAATTAAAAAGGAGAAAAAATTCCAACATGGGAAGCAGTCCACACAGAAGACTCATAGAATGACAAATGAGCTAAACAGCACTCTGACTTCAGAATCAGCCCCTAAGGCATTTGGATCTAGCTAAGAAAAACATCAGAGCATTTCAGGTGTGGAAAGTCAAGACACTGTGGCAAAAATAGATCTACATGAAGGATCTCTGTGAATGAGACCCCAATGGAAAGAAGGGACCATCAAAGGAGGATGTACTTTTCTCTGAAGGGAGGAGAGAACTTCCACTTTGATTATGGCCCTGTCTGAAAACTGACTACTCTCCATGTAGGACCTCTGTCCTCAATGAGTTGTACTATGAGAATTAATGGTAAAACTGATTTTCACACAGTACTTTATAGTTTGTGTGTCTTTGTGGGTGCAAACTGTTGAAATCTTTACTTAGCATAGAGTTGGTGTTCTGTATATAAAGTTAACTAAAAATATTAATGAAGAATGGGATGGGAGAGAGAGTAGTACGTGAGATGGGAGTAGGAATTGGAGGGCACATATGGGGGGAAGAAACACTATATCCCTAAAAGCTTTACATATGATATTTGTATTCATTAAATAAAAACCTTGGGGATGGTGGTGGAGGTGAAGTAGAAATCCAGCAAGGACAGGTTGGAGAGGAAGAAGTACATGGGCGTGTGGAGGTGGGGGTCTGAGAGGATGGCCAGGACAATGAGTAGGTTCCCAGCCACAGTGACCAGGTACATGGAGAGGAAGAGCCCACTTATGAGGGGTTTCAGTGCTGGTGTCTGAGAATCCCAGAATAAAAAACTATGAAGGTTGAGTTTCATTTCTTGATTCTATGAAGTGTCACTACCAGGACAAAGTAAAAATGATCCTGGGAATAGTCACACAAACAGTCATAGTCAACTCAGTGGAAAACCTAAACTCACAGTCTCCCATCATGATTTGAGCTCCATATTTGTGGATGGATATCTTCTTGTTTAGGATACTGCCAGTGCCATCACTGACCAGAAAATTCCTGCCCTATCTCAATCCTTCCTAAGACACCCTTTATTCCATGTTGTTAATGAGAAATTCCTTCATAATATGAGCATGAGTAATTACCTTCCGCCCAGGGTCCACACAGTTTAGATGATCAGCAATGCAGGAGTGGGAAATGCAAACACAGATGAGACTCAAAACCCAGTAAGTCTATAGAAGGGTCATTTTCCCCCCAAAGAAACCTTTTATTTAATGAGTACAAATTTCATGAGACCAACTTTAGTAATATAGAGTTTCTTTCCACCATACCTACCCTCCCATGACCACTCCCACTCCACCTCCTCCTATGTCTCCCATTCCCAGTGCCATTCTCCATTAAGATTTATTTTCAATTAAATTTGTACACAGAAGACCAACTTGATACTAAGTAAAGATTTCAACAATTTGCACACACACACAAAATACAAAAACTGAGAGCAAGTTTTGCATTAATTCTCATAGTACAGCTCATTGAGGACAGAGGTCCTACATGGAGAGTAATTGCACAGTGACACCTGTTGTTGATTTAACAATTAACGCTCTTATGTATGATGTCAGTGATCACCCAAGGCTCTTGACATGAGCTGCCAAAGCAATGGAAGCCTTTTGAGTCCACAAGCTCTGTCAGTTTTCAGACAGGGCCATAATCAAAGGGGAAGTTCTCTCCTCCCTTCAGAGAAAAGCACACCCTTCTTTGATGACCCCTTCTTTCCACTGGGGTCTCATTCACAGAGATTCTTCAAGAAAAACATATTTTTTGGAGCAGTGTCTTGGCTTTCCATGCCTGAAATGCTCTCATGGGCTTTATAGCCAGATCCAAATGATTTAGGGGCCGAACTGAGGTTAGGGTGCTACTTAAGGTGATTGTCATTCTTTGAGTCTGCTGTATGGACTGCATCCCATGTTGCAACATTCTTTTTTAATTATATTTATTATTATTACCATACACTTGATCTTATTTGTATGATCCATTTAACACTTAATCCTATCTATTTGATCAATTTAACACTTAAGGTGATCATGTTAACACTTAAGATGGCATTATAACCATCCAGTTTAATGGGATTCAGATTACCATGGCAAGTTTTTAGCTGTACCTAGAAGGGTAATTTTTAAACTGATAATTTTTATGGCCCATGATTGATGGTATAAATATCCAGATATCCCGTGACAAAGAAAGGTTTACCCATCTTTTTATTACCATCAGGTGATAAAACACAATGTTTAACCCTACAGTCTAGAAGTGGAGTAAGAATATAAGGAAATAAAGTTAAAAATCACCCAAGTCAGATGGTGATAGGTGCTATGGGAAAAAAGACACAGGTTTGGATCCTTCATCTAGATAAGAACACCCTTTCTCCACAGCGTCCATGTACATATGACAGTGGAATACAATGACATCACAATGCTACTTATGATTAAAGACCTGGCTGCCTTTATTGAAGGTCATTTATGACTTGCCCATACCCAATCTACATTTCCAAACTTCTCTTTCCTTGGTGCCTGTACTGAGGGGGTGTGAGTGTGATGAGCTACCCTGGAGCAAAAGTGACTCAGGTTGTGTCAGTGACCCAGTCTGGCACTGTGGTTCCCAAGCTGGTTCCAGGAGCAGGATTGTGGGAGGGAAGGAACCCAGTACCCACCCACACAGCTCGCTGATGCTGGAGTCTGTGGTGTTTGCAGGAATTCTGTAGGTTGGATGCAGGAAGGGAGGGGGGACAAAGAAGAGCAAACTACGGCCGAATGATTTGTTCCATTCTGAAATTGCAGAAATGGCTTCAGATACCAAGTGTAGGTGCCCAAAGGACTGGAATAGGGCCTTTAAGCTTTTCACTGTAATGTTAATTTAAAATACTTTATATCAAAAATAAACTACTAACTTAAAAAAGAGATATTTCATGGGCATGGTATGTGTGATTTTACAAGAAATTACTCCTAAGCAATACACATTTTGCACCACGAGATATGTGGCTATTTAAATTGTTTTATACTTAATTGCATAAGGAGCAGGTGCATTGTGAAAAGAAAAACACAGTGTAACACAAAGTTGTTTAATACATAAATTAACTACTCTTTCACTATGATTTTTCCATAAAATTTTTGAAGCACCCTTGTATTTCAGGAACAACATTGGTAAAAAAAAAAATTGGGGAAAGGAAAATTGAAAAGAAAATACATTGAGATACTAGAGATAACTCTGTACAACAAGTAAATCATTGAACATGGTCACAAAAGTTGTAATAAAAAACCACAGTGGACAGACTATGCAAGTTCTGTTCCTCTAATCTGATAAAATATTCCATTGTCTGGCTCTGAGGCTTGGAAACCTGCAGTCCTAGATTCTCCTTCAGTCCCAATGCCATGGGTTCCTCTACAGCTCATGGACCAGGAGTCTCTCCAGAGCCCTCTTCATGTCTGTGTTCCTCAGACTGTAGATGAAGGGGTTCAGCATGGGGGTGACCACAGTGTACATTACTGTGGCCATGGCAGTGGAGACTGAGCTGGGGGCAGAACGAGCACTGAGGTACACACCTATGCTTGTGCCATAAAATAAGGAGACAACGGAGAGGTGAGAGGCACAGGTGGAGAACGCCTTATACTTCCCCTGAGCTGAGGAGATTGCACAGATGGAAGAAATGATCTTAGAGTAAGAGTACAGGATGCCAACCAGGGGACCCCCACCCAGCAGCACTGCAGTACAAAATGTCAACATGTCATTAAGGAAAGTGTCAGAACAGGCACTGTGGATCACCTGACTCAGTTCACAGAAAAACTGGGGGATTTCCAGGTTTTCACAGAAGGACAGCCGCAGCACCAGTAGGCTGTGTGACAGCGCAGTTAGGGCATTGATGACCCAGGACACCAGGACCAGCTGCACACAGAGCCGGGAGTTCATGATGACCGTGTAGTGCAGGGGGTGACAGATGGCCACAAACCTGTCATAGGCCATCACGGCAAGCAGAAGGTCATCCAGCCCTGCAAAGAGTATGAAGAAGAACATCTGGGTGATGCAGCCTGCATAGCTGATGGCTTTGCTCTGTGTCTGGATGTTCACCAGCATCTTGGGGACGGTGGTGGAGGTGAAGCAGATGTCCATCAATGACAGGTTGGAGAGGAAGAAGTACATGGGTGTGTGGAGGTGGGGGTCTGAGAGGATGGCCAGGACAATGAGCAGGTTCCCAGCCACAGTGACCAGGTACATGGAGAGGAAGAGCCCAAAAATGAGGGGCTGCAGTGCTGGGTCCTCTGAGAAACCCAGGAGGAGGAATTCTGAAACTTGGGTTTCATTTCTCGGTTCCATGAGGTGTCACTATCAATAAAAAGAAAAATAACATGAGGAATAGTCACTCAAACAGACATTAGCAGTAGAGTGGGAATTCAAAATCTATTTTCTGGTTGAGAATATAGCACCTGTATTTTTGGATGGAACTGTTCCAGATCAGGCAGCTTCTAGTGCCATCTCTGACCAAGAATTTCTGTCCCACCCTCAATCCTTCCCCAAGACATCAAATATTTGTCAGTTTTGATGGAAAATCCGGTAGTCATTTGAAAATTATCAATTGAGGTCTTCCCATAGCCAAGAGTTCCCTTGTGTCTACTCAGTGAGCCTGGGAACCCCTGCTCTGAGCCCAGCTCCCATTCCACATGAGACACACACTCACCTAGACGGGCTCACAGAGCTCCCTCCTCCGTTGTGTCAGCTCCATGTCCTGCTAAAACAGCCACACCAAGGAGTCACAATAGGATTAACTTTCCCCAAATACAAGGCCCTGTGGGTGAGTGTGTAAAATGGATTTTAAAAATTATTTTGGTATAAGAAGTTGAAAAGCATGCATAGATATACATATTGTGGAAACTGTGCCAAACTCCTTGTATTTGAAAAACAATACACACACCAAAGGAAAACAGTACACAAAAATCCAAATCTATAATTCTCTCATGTACAAAAGTTAAACTTGACTATTTTATTTACTTTTTGAGATTATAATTATTTTTTAGCTGTTTTTTTAACCATGGTTGACAGATCATAATTGATTATGTTTATATGGGGCAGAATTCAGCATTGCATAATGGCCACATTTCAGTAATTAGCATTCTCACTGCCTAATATACTGATTATTTCTGTGTTGGAAGAACATGCCAAAACTTCTCTCCGAGCTACTTGAGCCAAATAATGCACTATTGCTAATGATTCTCACCCTACTGGGCAATGATTTATGCTCTATTTAAAGAAACATGGAAGATATGCTTGATAAAGGAGAGAGAGAAAGAGAGAGAGAGAGAGAGAGAGAGAGAGAGAATGAAATGGACATGAGCAAAAAAAAAAAAAGAAAGAAAGAAATGGACATGAGGGAAGCTAACATCTGAGATCACCAGCTGTTCACTGAAGGACTGTGAGGTCAAAAGTCCCCACTGTGTCTGGCAGGATCCTAACTCTGGCTCTGTCCCTTTGCTCTTTTAGAATAAAGAATGGCATAGAGAGCGCAGCCAGGTGCACATGTTCCCAAAATCAAAATATCATCTAACACTGCCTCTATGGCTTATAGCCCTTGCCTGTGTTTCTTTTTTGTTTTCACTTGTTGAACTCTTTATTTGGTGGAGTTCTAAGCCTTCGACTATAATATAAATTAAGATGTTAACTGAAAAATTCAAAGAGAAAGAAAGGGAAAAGAGATGGAAGCATCTTATGGTTAGAATTGTATCTATTTGGCCGGTGCCGTGGCTCAATAGGCTAATCCTCCACCTAGCGGCGCCAGCACACTGGGTTCTAGTCCTGGTCGGGGTGCCAGATTCTGTCCTGGTTGCCCTTCTTCCAGGCCAGCTCTCTGCTGTGGCCAGGGAGTACAGTGGAGGATGGCCCAAGTCCTTGGGCCCTGCACCCCATGGGAGACCAGGAGAAGCACCTGGCTCCTGCCTTCATATCAGCATGGTGCACCGGCCGCAGCATGCCAGCCGTGGCGGCCATTGGAGGGTGAACCAACGGCAAAAGGAAGACATTTCTCTCTGTCTCTCTCTCTCACTATCCACTCTGCCTGTCAAAAAAAAAAAAGAATTGTATCTATGAAAAAATAATAAGACAAAAACTGTATCCATGAACTCTTAGTATTAATAGCACATTAGCATGAGATGTTAATTATTTGAAAGTAATTATGATGCTATAACTAGTACTCAAATAGTATTTTACATTTTGTGTTTCTATGTGGGTGCAAACTGTTGAAATCTTAGTTAATATATGCTAAATTGATCTTCTGTATATAAAGATAATTGAAAATTAATCTTGATGTGAATGGAAGGGGAGAGGGAGTGGGAGAGGGAGTGTTGTGGGTGGGAGGGAAGTTACAGGGAGGTGGGGAAGCTATTGTAATCCATAAGCTGTACTTTGGAAATTTATGTTCATTAAATAAAATAAAATTAAAAAAAGAAGTAAATGGACAAACAGCAGAAAAAATAAAAATGTATTACCTCTAAAAAAAAAAAGAAAGTAATTATGAGATAGTCACAGTGATATTACTATTAACAATGTGATAGTAACTGTCATGTATTTATTGTGTCCCTGAATATATATTGCATCAAGAAAATAATTAAAATTTTTAAATAGATAACTGAATAAATAATAGAAAAAGAAAATAAATAAATGAGCAAACAAAAGCAAAGACACAACATATTTTAAAAATTAAATTGAAGTGTATAACAATATGATGACATCAGTACCGGTCACCATAACTTTTGAAACATTGGGTAATAAATGCAGCCTAATGGAAACTTCTCAAATGAGGGGAAGAAGCAGTGCTGTGTGTTATAAGAGACAGATGGATCCCAGTTTCCTTAAGAGAGGGAAGACTATCTACAGACACATGGTTAACAGTGGGACATTTCCGATGGCAGCAGAAGGGACATGTTCCAGTGACAAAGGCAAAGATAATAACAAAGCATATCGACTTATCGGAACAATTTGATGTGCAGCAAGTTGGAAATATATGCACAGGTGACATTCACACTAAGGTTGCAGAATTACTTTCAAGGTTTAAGACAATAGGATGAAGACCAAGGTTGAGTTATTAATTTTGACAATAGAAAATTACAAGCTTTCACATGTCCTCCTACATTCATCAAAGACAGTACTTAAAAACATCTTGGAAAGTAAAGGTAAAGCATATGCTTTATTTGGGTGCATAAATGTTGCAAAATAAAGATTTCCCCAAATTTGAATGACCTATCAGAAGCATGGATTAAGTCCTTTTTTGCACTAAATATTTTGGGCCATAAAACTTACCTTTCAGATACAATTTTCCATGACTTTGAAGTACTCTCTCACTGCACATGAAAGATTTTCAGGGCAGAAAAAGGTGGTGAACTTGGCCAGTTTACTGTAGAAAAGATGACAGTGGCAGACAGGAATAAACAATCTCACCTGAATGCACATAACGCGAAGTCCGGGATGAAGTGGAAGAGAGAGCAAAGGATTGGAAACTGCTGAGTACACCAAAGCTCATAGCCAATAAACTACCTGCCTAGCAGGTGTCTTTAATGGACCTGTTCCTTTTTTTTTTTTTTTTTTTGACAGTGAGAGAGACAGAAAAGTCTTCCTTCCGTTGGTTCACCCTGCAAATGGCTGCTACAGTGGGTGCGCTGCGCTGATCCAAAGCCAGGAGCCAGGTGCTTCCTCCTGGTCTCCTATGCAGGTGCAGGGCCCAAGCACTTGGGCCATCCTCCACTGCCTTCCTGGGCCACAGCAGAGAGCTGGACTGGAAGAGAAGCAACCGGGACAGAACCGGTGCCCCAACCAGGACTAGAACCCGGAGTACCAGTGCCGCAGGCAGAAGATTAGCCTAGTGAGCCATGGTGCTGGCCATAATGGACCTGTTCTTACTGCATCACTGATACATTTTGTCATGTAAGCACCAAGTGTGGAAGACACTGAGACGTGTATGTCTCCACAGCTGCTACTATAATGGTACACATGCAAGCACTTCTCCCTATCTGGGCCTTTCTTTCCCACAGAGAAGTCAGCTATGTCCTCCCTTAAAAACCAGAGTAGGAAGGTTGGTGACTGAGTCTCCAGCATCAGGAGCCATCTTCTCCCTTGCATTAATCAATTCTGAGTTGTCAACAATAAGGGCACACACATGGAGGAAATGAAACTCCTCTACTGCCCCAGATTTCAAAATGCTGTGAATTTGGCTCCCTGTCTGTTAGGCACTAATGCCTCTCATTCCCTGTAGGAAATGGCCTTCCCTCACCAGCATTTTTTCTTCAGCCAATGGCCATTGCCCTTTTATCATCACAAACAACTGCACAAACAAATGTTCATCAAGTAAACAAGCAACCCCAGTCCCCTCTGGGATGTGAGCTAAGTTGGTGCAACTCTTGGTGGATCCCAGGTGAAAGTCTGTGTCCAAGCCTAGGACTCTCCTGCAGTGTCAGCCAGACTCACCTACATGGGGTTTCTGGGAGGAAGGTCTCTGGGTGGAAGCCCAAATTCTTCCCTGGATGGTGGATGATGGAGACTGAAGCTCTGTCCCAGACAAAGCAGCAGGGAGGAGGGAGGCATCAGTCCCTGAGCCAGACTCAGGACTCCAAATGCAACCAGGTTGCTTCTCATCCAAGGTTGCACAATCTGAGGGAGGGCAGCAGATGGGGTATTTCTGCTCCCTACACCTGCTCATTAGGCACCTCCCTGCCTGTGGCTCTGAGCTGTAAGCTTCTGATTCCTCTGAGGGACATTTCCCTGGACAAAACACAGTTTTCTTGTTAGTGGCTCCCAAGAGACCAGGAAGAATTAGGTGAACCCTCATTCTATTTCTCCTGCTAATTAAAATAATCACAGGGAGATATTAGAACATGGCCTGAGAGTAGCACATTCTTTTTTTTTTTTTTGCCTTTTTTTTTTAACTTTTATTTAATGAATATAAGTTTCCAAAGTACGAATAATGGATTACTATGGCTTCCCCCCCATACCGTCCCTCCCACCCACAACCCTCCCCTTTCCCACTCCCTCTCCCCTTCCATTCACATCAAGATTCATTTTCGATTATCTTAATATACAGAAGATCAGCTTAGTATACCTTAAGTAAGGATTTCAACAGTTTGCTTCCACACAGAAACATAAAGTGAAAAATAATAGATGATTTTTTTTAAATGATGATGAAATCAGATCAGACCTATTGTCATGTTTAATCCCAGTGAGAGTCAAGTTGGGAGTTGATAGTTTCTTTTCTTTTCTTTTTCTTTTTCTTTTTTTTTTTTTACAGAGGATCAGTTTAGTATGCATTAAGTAAAGATTTCAACAGTTTGCACCCCCATAGAAACACAAAGTGAAATATATTGTTTGAGTACTCGTTATAGCATTAAATCTCAATGCACAGCACATTAAGGACAGAGATCCTACATGAGGAGTAAGTGCACAGTGACTCCTGTTGTTGACTTTACCAATTGACACTCCTGTTTATGGCATCAGCAATCCCCCTATGCACCAGTCATGAGTTTCCAAGGCTATGGAAGCCCCTTGAGTTCTCCGACTCTTATCTTGTTTAGACAAGGTCATAGTCAAAGTGGAGGTTCTCTCCTCCCTTCAGAGAAAGGTACCTCCTTCTTTGAAGACCTATTTTTTCCACTGGGATCTCACTCACAGAGATCTTTTGCCAGGGTGTCTTGGCTTTCCATGCCTGAAATACTCTCATGGGCTTTTCAGCCAGATCCGAATGCCTTTAGGGCTGATTCTGAGGCCAGAGTGCTATTTAGGACATCTGCCATTCTATGAGTCTGCTGAGTATCTCACTTCCCATGTTGGATCAGAGAGTAGCACATTCTAGCAGTTGTCTGATTTAATACATGCCAAAGTCTGTTTTGTGGAGGCTATGTTAAAAATCTTGGTTGCCAAAATAGGGCCCAGAGGGGTGGACACCAATCTGACCCTCATGTAAGGGTTGGTGCCTTGAAGTATGCCCCCAGTCCTCAACCCTTGCACCAGAGGTTCCTGACAGGGATGGATGTATGCTTAGGGATATTTGCAACGTGAAGCATGCTTCTGAGCTTCTGTGTCACACAGGGTAGCATCCATCACCTATGTCTGCTCTGTACCAAATGTGGACAGTGAGGATAAGAACATCGATTCATACCAGCAATTCCAACATCCGTGTGCACATAGACCACCAGGAATTCAAGTTCAAATTGCAATTTCTCACTCAGAAGTTCTCCTTCATCCTCAGAAATCCTGCTTTGCTTTTTTGCCAGTTTTTATAGAAAAAGTAAGATTGTGAAGTAGGACAAAGAGCTCATACACCCCCACATCCAGCCCCCCATTGTTAACATCTCACATTAGGCCAGTGCCGTGGCTCAACAGGCTAATCCTCCGCCTAGTGGTGCCAGCACACCGGGTTCTAGTCCGGGTCGGGGCGCCAGATTCTGTCCCGGTTGCCCCTCTTCCAGGCCAGCTCTCTGCTGTGGCCAGGGAGTGCAGTGGAGGATGGCCCAAGTCCTTGGGCCCTGCACCCCATGGGAGACCAGGAGAAGCACCTGGCTCCTGGCTTCGGATCAGTGCGGTGCGCCGGTCGCAGCACACTGGCCGCGGCCACCATTGGAGGGTGAACCAATGCAAAGGAAGACCTTTCTGTCTCTCTCTTTCTCTCACTGTCCACTCTGGCTGTCAAAAAAGAAAAAGAAAAAGAAAAAAATCTCACATTAGTATGATCTATTTATCACAATCTACAAACTTCAACTGACTTGCCCTGTTTTGTAATATAATCTCCATTTATACACCTAATCTCTCCCATCCTCTAGTAACCAATGTTCAAGGTTCTTTTTTAGACATTTATTAATTTATTTGAAAGGCAGAGTGATGCAAGAGAGGGAAATACAGAGAAAGAGAGAGAGGGGGTGGGGAGAGAGAGAAATTCTATCCATTAGTTCATCCTCAAATGGTTGCACCATGTGGCATTGGACTGGGCAGAAGACAGGAGCCAGGAGCTTCCTCAGGTCCTCAAGGGGCCCAGGCTCTTAGAACTACCCCTGCCTGTTTTTCCAAGCACATTATCAGGGAGCTGGATCAGAAAGGCAGGATCAGGACTTGAACTGGCAGCCATATAGAATACTGGTGTTGCAGGTGATGGCTTGAACTGCTGCATTACAGTTCCAGCCCCTAGGGTTTTTTGAGATTTTTTTTCAGCTCTCCACAATAAGCGAAAGCATGACTTTTTTTGCATTTCATAACTACAAATTTAGGAATATGGTGATTCCTTCAACCGTACCTGCCCTCCCACTCTTCCCCCTCCTTCCACTCCAAAATGCAGTCATATTCTCTACTAAGGTGTATTTTCAGTTAACTTTATAAATGGAAGACCAACTCTACACTAAGTAAAGTGTTCCACCATTTGCATGAAAACAAAAACAAAAACAAAAAACAAAAAAAACACATAAAAAACACTATTCCTCAACAGTCGAGACAAGGGCTGTTCCAAATCATTGCATTTTTTTTTACATCCATATGAATTTCTGCATCATTTTCTCTAGATCTGAGGAGAATGTCTTTGGTATTTTGACTGGTATCACATTTAATCTATAAATTGCTTTTGGAAGAATGGACATTTTGATGATATTGGTCCTTCCAATCCATGAGCATGAAAGATTTTTCCATTTTTTGATATCCTCTTCTATTTCTTTCTTTAAGGTTTTGTAATTCTCATGATAGAGATCATTGACATCCTTGGTTAAGTTTATTCCAAGGAATTTGATTGTTTTTGTAGCTATTGTGAATGGGATTGATCTTAGAAGTTCTTTCTCAGTCATGGCATTGTCTGTGTATACAAAGCCTATTGATTTTTGTGCATTGATTTTATATCCTGCTACTTTGCCAAACTCTCCTATGAGTTTCAATAGTCTCTTAGTGGAGTCTTTTGGATCCCCTAAATAAAGAATCATATCATTTGAAAAGAGGGATAATTTGACTTCTTCTTTCCCAATTTGTATCACATTAATTTCTTTTTCTTGCCTAATGTCTCTGGCTAAAATTTCCAGTACTGTATTGAATAGTAATAGTGAGAGTCGGCATCCCTGTTTGGTACCTGATCTCAGTGGAAATGCTTCCAATTTTTCCCCATTCAATAGGATGCTGGCCATGGGTTTTTCATAAATTTTCTTGATTTTGTTGAGGAATGTTCCTTCTATACCCAATTTGCTTAGGGTTTTCATCATGAAAGGGTGTTGTATTTTATCAAATGCTTTCTCTGCGTCTATTGAGATAATCATATGGTTTTTCTTCTGCAGTCTGTTAATGTGGTGTATCACATTGATTGTTTTGCACACATTGAACCATCCCTGCATACCAGGGATGAATCCCACTTGGTCTGGGTGGATGATCTTTCTGATGTGT